AATAAAAAGACATTTAAAAGCTACACTCAGTGTAATCTGAAGAATGTTTATTTGGGAGATAATAAGGCCTGCAGTATTGTAGAAAATGGTAATGTTGATATCGGGTTACCGAATGGAACAATCTGAAAGCTTACTAAAGTTAGAAATGTTCGAAGTTTGAAGAGAAATCTCATCTTTGTGAGCTAGTTGACAAAATAAGAACTCGTGACTAATTTCACAGCTGATTCGTGAAAGTTGATCAGTGGGCATTAGTGATGGCTTAGAGCAATATTGAAAACACCATTTATCCAATCAGTGAAATATGCAGCTGAAATCAGGGTAGTTGCAGTTCTGTGACATCAAAGACTTGTCATATGAGTGAGAAATATGTCCATACTTTTTAAAAATAAATTTTAGGATTTGAAATTAGTTGATCCAGATTTTTATGAAGACTTTATTTATGACAAGTAGAAGAAATTTTTTTTCTCTTAGAGCAGGTCAGTAATGAAATCAAAGAAACTGTGCATACTGGCGTATGAGGTTTTACTCCAGTTCAGTCCATTAGAAGTTCTAGCTATTTTGTCATGTTCATTGATGATCACATGAGAAAGATATAGATTTGTTTCTTAAAGCAAAAATTTGATGTATTTGAAGATTTTAAGAAATTAAAGACTATGGTAAAAAATGAGACAAGCCTGAAGCTGAAGTGTCTCAGATCAGATAATGAAGACGAGTATCATGATTAGAAGTTCATGAATTTCTATACTACAAAGGGGGTCAGGCGTGAGTTCACTGTCTCAAGGACACTGTAGCAGAGTGGTGTAGCTAAGCGCATAAACAAAACAATCACAGAGCATGTTAGGAGCATGAGGCTGCATGCAGACTTGCTTAAACAGTTTTGAGCTGAAGCATTAAACATTGCAGTTTATCTGATTAGTCGTAGTCCATCAGTACCTTTGGAGGGTCTTACCTGAAGAAGCATGAAGTGACAAAAATGCATATCCATCTCATTTAAGGAGCAAGCTTGAATCAAAATTTAGGGGTTCTGCATATATGCATATTAATGTAGAGTCCAGGAGCAAGCTTGACTCAAAATTTGTCAAGTGCACTTTCATTGGATATGATCGGCTGAATTTGAGTACAAGTTTTGAGATAAGCAGAATTAGAAATTCATTAAAAGCAGGGACGTCAATTTCTATTAAATGAAGATGTACGAGGACAGGGTTAGAACTCAAAAAAACTATTTTTGAAAAATCCAGATATGTTGAGGTAAATGACATTGGTGATCAGGAAGGTGGAGAAAGAAGAAGTGTTCAACTAGAAGAAGCATTGGAAGTTCTTTAATCACCTGCTTTAGAAGTCAGAAGATCCAACAGAGTGATACGACCCATACATAGACATTCTTCCTCTTTACACTTTTTGTTACTAATTGATAGTGACGAACCAAAGTGCTTTGAAGAGGCTACTTAAGTTGAAGTTTCAAGGGAATGGGAGCTTGCCATTAATGAAGGAATGCAATCTTTAGAGTCAAAACAGACTTGGGATTTAACAGTACTTCCAAATGGAAAAAGAACACTACACAAGAGGTGGGTCTATAGACTGAAAGAAGAGTCAGATGGTTGCAAGCACTATAATGCAAAACTTGTTGTGTAGGGTTTCTAACAGAGGGAAGGAGTGGATTATACAGATATCTTCTTCCCAGTGGTGAAGATGACGACTGTCAGGGTTGTATTGTGGTAGCAAAAGAAGATCTAGATCTGGAGCAAATGGATGTAAAAACAAATTCCTTGCATGGAAATGTGGAGGATAAGCTTTACTTAGTGCAACCACAAGGTTATAAGGCTCCAAGTAAAGAAGTTTTAGTTTGCAAATTGAATAAGAGCCTCTATGGCTTGAAACAGGGCCCGTGACAGTGATACAAGAGTTTTGACAGGTTCATGTCAGACAATGGGTACTTGAAATGCCAAGAAAACCACTATTATTTTATCAAACGCTTTGGCAATTGTTATATACTGCTTCTTTTGTATTTGTATGACATTTTGATTACAATGATAGATATGGAGAAAATCAGTAACTTGTAGAAACAATTATTAAAGATGAAAGATTTAGGTCTAACTAGGAAGACCCTCAGAATAAGAATCAACAGTGACAGAAGTGCAGTAACACTAAAGTTGTCTTAGACAGAGTATATTGAAAAGATTCTACAGAGGTTCAACATGAGTGGGGTGAAATTAGTTAGCACTCTCTTAGATAATCATTTCAAACTATGTAAGCTATTGCCTAACTCTGAAGCAGAGCAAGCACAAATAGAGAGGATTCCGTATGCTTCAACAGTTGGAAGTTTAATGTATGCGATAATTTGTACCAGACCAAATATTACATATGCAGGAGTGGTCAGTAGTTATGTGGACAATCCAGACAAACATCATTAAGAGACGGTAAAGTAGATTCTCAGGTATTTGAGAGAAACAAGCAACATGACATTATGTTATGGAAGTGCAGGGGTCTCAGGGATTTGTAGATTCAGATATAACAGGAGATGTGGACAACATAATAAGTACAACGAGATATGTCTTTACATTGGGGAACACAACAGTGAGTTGAGTTTATAGGTTGCAGAAGATTGTTGCACTTTCAACTACAGAGGCTGAATATATTATTATTGCCTAGGTTAGCAAGGAGATGGTTTGACTACAGAGTTTCATGACAAAATTAAGCAATGAGCAGGGGATTGGAAAACTCTACAGTGACGGTATGAGTGTGATTTATCTTGTTAAGAACGTTATTTTTTATGTCAGAACAAAACACATTTAGCTTCATTCTATTCATGAAGATGGGCGGTTGTTTCTAAAGAAGATACACACAACTCAGAATTCTGTAGATATGTTGGTGAAGGTGGTGACTATTAAGAAACTGAAGCTATGCTTGACTTCAGTTGAATTTCATGAAGGTTGAGACTGAAAGTGAGCCATATCACGGTACATGACTATGAAGGCAATTCAGATGGAGGTGCAGGTACAGAGGACTGATGTTGGGTGTTATACTCTCCAAGTAGGAGATTGTTGGGTTTGTGGAGCCAAAGCACCTGTAAGTACACCCGACTGTGGGATGTTCAAGCGCCCACTTTTGGGTGAATACGAAGAAGGGGGCGACTTTGCGCCCCACTTTGGGGCGTTACTTTTGAATCTAGCACTCGAGCGCTAGCTTGGGCACTCATGCGCCCAAGTTTTTGGGCGCAACCTCTTTTCTTTCCCGTAAGCACGACACTTAGGCGTCACGTCTGGGTGCTTAAAAGCCTAGAACAATCAGTACTCGAATTTTCTGGTTTTAAGCTAGTTTTGAGCGACGCAACTTGTACTTCATTTGGCATTATTCGACAAGCATCCTAGTGAAGGTGAGACAGTTGAAGACGTGAATTTCGGTAAATCGACGTGATTCTTGTGTTGGATTGGAGAAGAAAGATCGCGGAACATGTCCTGTAAGTTTCCTTGTGTGTAGAGAGAAAACTGATGTAAGCTCTCTGTAAAAACTTTTTAAATTTCATAGTGGAATTTTCTGGTGGTATGACTCTGTCGTTTTTTCTCATCATTAGGTTTTTCTGCGTAAAATTATTGTGTTTTTCTGGTTGTTTTGATTGTGCTTCCATTTAGATTTTGTTCCGGTTTTCCACGTAAAATTTTTGTGCAATCTTATTATTCCGTGGTATGGTTTAGTTTCTAATTAATTCTATGCCCCGGTAAAATTGAGAATTGTTCTCATAATTGCTATCATTTTCTTTTACCAGACATCTTGTTGTTAGTACCCTAACTTCACATATTTTCTCATGTTTCTTCCTATTTTTAAAGCAGGAGCTTTAGTACTGAGTCCTAAGTATGAAGGAGTTGTTAATTGTCAAAATTCTATAATATGGATGACAGGGGTTCTTTGTTGGACTACTATTTGCTTTCCTTCCACATGGTCTTGTTATTCTTCTGTTGACACCGACAATAAGAATTGCCAAAGAGATATTGTTGTAGACGCAAAAAGACAGAATGTTATCCATAAATAACACATCACATGATAACTATTTAAGGTTAACACTTACAGTTGATTATATATATGAAGTAGGGAATTGAACATGCTAATGATGTTTAAAAGATTGATTTACTAATTTTGCACTATTTATCTTCTTGTTCAAATGGAAAGGAATTTGCATGTTTGATGACCTATACCAAATACAGGCTGGTCTAGCTTTATCCAATGCAACGAGGAAATTATTATTTAGGTTTAAACAGTTTAAAATTTGTTAAAATCAACAAATCCTAGAGCCCACAGGAGTTGGGGCTTGCAACTCCAGGTTATTTTTTATTGCTACCGAGCAATTCATTGGTCATAAAGGCCATGTGATTTTCTTTTTTTCATTTCAGCAGAAAAACGTGTAAAAGCCTCATGGCAATTCCATACAACAGGTAGCATAACACTCAAAATTTCGTGACTATCTCGTTCTTGCCATGACCTTGGCTCTCAGATTATTTGTAAATAAGTAGGATGAAAAAACTGATATGATACAAGGCATGGAATATGACAACCTTCTATATCGCTCTGTAAACAATGAATTTTTTTTTTTTAAAATAATGGGTGATGCATAGGATGCAATGATGGGGTACTTTTGACATTATGTTAAAAGGGCTTAAATAAAATTGAAACTTTAGAAAAAAATTATCAATAAAATTACTCTTAAATAAATAATTTTTTCGATCAGCTTGTGTTCTTTTTTCATTTATTTTATCAATCTATCTTTCTATCATCTAGGGCTGAAAATGCTACTACTAATTAGAGACTGGAATTAGTCCATTCATTGAAATAACAATTATATTTATTTACAAATTTTGCAATGGAGAATTCCTGGCTTTACTTTACGAAACTCCATGCTTGCCCAGGTAACTGGCGCATCAAGTTCATCGAACTATTTAAGGCTTAAATGATTCCCTTTTCCTTAGATTACTTGTATTCTCTGATTCTATCTCCGCTTCTAAACACAGTCATCTTTCCTATGGGGATACATGATGTCACCAATAATTGGCGGGGCATTTGTTGATCATTATGGTGGTAAAGTTATCATGGCATGGGGAGTGACTCTCTGGTCCCTTGCAACACTTCTTACTCCTTGGGCGGCAGAGACTTCTGTATTGGCGTTAATCACAATGAGAGTCCTTCTAGGAGTAGCAGAAGGAGTTGCTCTTCCCAGTATGAACAATATGGTCTCTAGGTAGTTTTCGGTTGAGACTTTTTCTTATAAATAGTCTATTGTGAGTATTGTGCAAGATATTGTCATTATCTGAGTTTGTCCTCTATTGTTGTTGTGTACAGTTTAAAAACGGTAAAATTTTTAAAATGGTCCCCTTACATTTTTTGCATTGGGCAAATTTTGCCCGAGTCTATAAAAGTGTTAATTTACTCCCCATACTCTTTTAATAGGGGGCTAAAATAGTTCAGTTCATATTAAAAAGTCAGTAATAATTTGGCACTTTTATAGACTCCGGAATTAAAATGGCCCCATGTAAATAATCAAGGGATCATTTTGGCACCTTACTTGTTTAAAAACTTATTCAAGTGACTTATAGTGGTCCTTTTTTATAGATGGTTTCCTCAAACTGAGAGATCAAGAGCTGTTGGAATTGTAATGGCTGGATTTCAACTTGGCAGTGCCGTTGGACTTCTAATTTCCCCTATAATTATGTCGAAGGCAGGAATTTTTGGGCCTTTTGTGATATTTGGATTATTTGGGTTTCTCTGGGTGCTGGTATGGCTTCCTGGAACCACAAGTGCTCCTGAAAAACACCCACAAATATCAAGATATGAGTTGGACTACATCACTAAAGGTCAGAAACCTCTGATTTGCTTGGAAAGAAATGGTAAGTCTGAAATCATACCCCCTTTGGTGAAATTGCTTTCTAGGTTTCCAACATGGGCTTTAATTTCTGCAAATGCAATGCACAGTTGGGTAAGTTTGTTTCAATTTGAAGCTGGTAAATCATGTGCTCTGTCCTCCTTTGTATGATATGGAAAATCGGACAAATGTTTTCTCTTAATTTGCAGGGATACTTTGTCATTCTCTCATGGATGCCAATCTACTTCAACACTGTATGTTTCCTGGTTTGTTTTATGAATAAAATCGGAAAAGTTAAACTTCTGACATCTTAAATTTCTACGGAACTTTTCCCTGGATAAGATTCATCATGTTGATCTTCGGCAAGCTGCATGGTTCAGTGCACTCCCATGGTTCATGATGGCTTTTTTGGGTTATGCTGCTGGTACTGTTTCAGATATGCTGATCAAGAGAGGTGTTAGTATTACTTTTACACGCAAAATCATGCAGGTATTGTGTATAGTTACTTTGACAATTCAACAGAGCTAAGATATAGGTCGAATACAATCCATTATACTTTTCTTTTAGAAAGGATGAATGCTTTAACTTCTATTCACATCAACAGATTTTTCAGCCAACTCAATTTCCTGTCTACATGTGTCTCTGAGTTATTTTTATTCCAAGCTGATTTTCTAGGAAATTTTTTAAATCTATCCTCCTGCAGGAGATCTCTTAAAAATATTTCTCTATCTTCCTATTCCTACTTGCGTGTAGGAACTTGTAGCCTTTCTAACGAGAGAGTATTAACTGTGTCAAAATGGAAAGAACCAGACGATGCATAAATAATGATGATTGTTTATTACTTTCTATATGATGAATGGCTCTGCAATTATTCTTCTGCGAAAAGTTGATCACTTGATATGCTGTTGGATAATCTATGCTTTAGTATTCAATTTTGTGATGAATAGAGATTTTACTGGTCGTTTATTTCTATGAAATAGGAGATTAGTTGGCTTCATTACATTAAATTTTTTTGAACAAATGACATAATCCAACTGTCAGTTCAGGGAAGAAAAATGAGCATGGTCATGCAATTGGGAATTATTCTATTAGAAATGTGTTAGCAATGAGTTGAAGTTTATTAAGCATAGGTTTTCATGATTCTTCACAGTTGTTTTTTGTTGTTATAATTAGAGTGCTAAATAATAATGTTAAATCATTAATGAGGATTTAGAAGAATGTGCCATAAAGTAAATGACAAAAGCAAAAGATAATATAACCGCAAAGACACTGAAATTTATATCAAACAACTTCAATCAAATCTAGAATTATAGGAGAGGAGAGAGAATTTGATTCACTAACAAATTTTGAGAATTTATAATTTATGGCGTACAAGACGAGCACTCACCCTATTTCTCAATTCCCAGGTGCACACACAAGAAAGATCTCTAATTTCTTACCTCAAAAACCCTAAAAGCCAAATTCTTAGCTCAGCAGCATGCATTGTGCAAGCTCATTTGACCAAGTTGTTGCTGAAGTCAAATTCCTACGAGGAACCTTTGTAGTATTGACCCTGGCTATGTATCTACTGTTAAATATTTGAGCCCCTTGTTATGATCATCGTCTCAACCTAAATGTTGCAATTGTATGACAGCCCCAAGATAAATTTTGCATTGTAACATAATCTATCTATTAACCTGACATACTCTCACATTTCATTCGTAAACTTTTTCGAAATTTTTCATATTGCCTGGAAGTTAACTCTCCACTATTTCCTTGAAGTACGATATATAAAGCAAGAGAAGAAATTATTGAAGTAGCCTACAAAGTTGCACCCTGTAATACATATAATCCTTCAACTCTTTTAGCTCTCATGAAGACTAAGAAACCTTTGCAAATCTTGAGTATCTGAGCATCCCTATTAAGTTTTTACCTTGTATGTATCACTCAGAGCACTGTTGACCTCATTTTTGTGAGGTCTAGTCTTCCTCTTAGGGTTTAGGATCTAGCCTTAGGGACCTCCCTTCGACTATCTTAAAATCTTAGACGCCTCAAATGGGACCCGCCTCGTTCTAGAAATTGAACCTACTTCTGTACCCTTTTGGAGTTTCGCATGTGTGGTATCGACTTCTAGCACTTTAAAGGGTGAAACCAACATGAGGAAACTCAAAGGAATTCCTATAGGACCTTTTGAGCCTTAGGGTGGCCTTCTGCACAATTCGCACTCCCGCGCGCACAAGTCTTGCAATTCGGAGAATCGACACGTCCGATCACCACAATTTGCATCGCTTGCACCATTACCTGTCGAAGACTTGAATAAACTTTTTGAAACGATCGATCACGGGTTGAAATTTTGTGAAATTTGAATTTTGACGCGTTTTTGACCCGATTGTCGACGACGTCGTTCGAGCGACCCCGGATGACAAAACGGGCTGCACCGGCGCGTCCAGAACTTCTATTTTGCCTAGGGAGGACACTCATTTTGTTACGACGCCGCGCACGAATAAATTGCACGAAATTTGATATTTTTTTTATATAAATAAAAAAAATCCTTATTTTAAATCTCTAAATCCCTAAATCCCTCATTCGCACCCCAAGCCCCGCTGATTTCGTTGGCGAACCGACCGAGCCCTCCCCCTTCCTCTGCGATCGCAAGCCCTAGCCGAGCAGCCCTCCCTCTTCATCGTGAAGCTTCGGCCCGCGGTCCCCTCCTCGTACGTCTGCCGCCCTGCGAAAAGCTTCGACCTACTTCCTCTGTCGCGCTCCGGCTTTCCCCTCCCACGCCTCTGCGATTCTTGTCGTCTTCTTCCACGCCGTGCCACGCGAGCTGCTCCTCTGCGACAAAGCTATGCCGATGTCGTCATCTTCCCCCCGCGCGACTCTTGTCGCTTCTCTCGGCTCGGCTCACCGCCCAGGTGAGTGCAAGTAACTCCTTCTTCTCCCCCTTTTGCTATAAAAACCCACTTGGGGAAGAGTTTAGGGGTTGGCTGAATTTTACTTGGAGTGGGGGAGGTGTTGCTATTTTTGTGTCTCGTTTCTTCATCATGTGTGTGTGTATTTGAGGCATTGTGAAGGCTTTTCCTTCTCTTGGGTAAAGCTCGAAGGAGGAGGAGAGCAGAAATTTTGGAGGAAAGGGGAGGTGCTGCCAGATTGCTTCTAGACCTATTCTTGTTTTTCTTGTGTGCTCTATACCAAGAGGTAACCTTTCTTCCGTGATCTTGCTAGTCTTTTGATTCCCTCGCATGGTTACTCTGTATTCTGGCTTGGCTGTTCGATATACCTGCTCTACTTCTTGATGTTTTTGTTGAGTTGCTGGAAGATTTAATTTCTTAAGCATGAAATGTGGAGCATGTGTAGCATGTGTAGCATTGGGTGGTTTATTTGTGAAATCTGAAATATTTGGGTGCTCTTTTTGCAAAATATGAAAGCTTTTGGGTGGCTTATTTGTAAAATCTGAGGGCTTTTAACTACCTTATGTTATGAAGATATGAAAATTCATGCATGAATTTGTTTTATGGAAATCATGGAAATTAATTTGTTGCTTGCATAATTTCAAAGATGAGGTTTCCGCGATTCATCTAAGTGAAATTTCTGGACATGTTGTTTGGTTTCGACGAGTGTTGGGCTGCGGTTTGGCCCGCTTTTGGGAAGGTTTAGATACAATTCTTTGGTCTATTTCATAGCTTCTAAAGGCCACAGTTTCACTGTTTTTTGGGCTGAATTTGCTGCACTTCGAGGCTCGCTTTAGTGATGTTTGGGTGACACTTTGACACTTTATTCATTAAGGTTGGAGCTGCAGTTTTAAAAAAATCTGAAAGGATTCTATTTAATATTTGCAATGGTGGGGGGACCTTGGTGTTTTGAAACTTTAATTGGTTATAGTTTATGTGTGGCCGATTTATAAAAATATGCAAGCTTTGGTGTTCGATTTGTAAAAATCTGCAAGTTTTGGTATTCTATTGGTAAAAATAAAAAAAAAATTTACGTGTTCTCTCGATACTTTGGTCCTCCAAAAAGGAAATTGGACATATGACATATAATTCTTGTGAATTTGCATGTCACATGGCTAGCATCTTGAATGATTCCAATTATTTACATTGGGTGGCTCATTTGTGAAATTCTGAAACTTTGGGTGGCTCATTTGTGAAAATCTGAAATGTTAGGTTGGATTTTGAAAAAAAAAAAATGGGAAAGGTTTATTTATCGTTTTCGATTGTTGGAGGACTTTGGTGCCTTGCATTTTAAAAACATGAAAGGATTCATTTATCATTTGCAATTTTAGGATTTTAAAATATTTACATATATAACATCCAAATTTTGAAAGTAAGTGTGTGGATTTTCCTTTTTTTTATGTATTTACATATCTAACACCAAAACTTCAATCTTTACATGCACACCACTTGTCCTTATGTGTTTAATTGCAACACTTACGTATATACCACGTAATTCTTATGCAGTTACATATGTAGCAAATGGTGCCTTGCTTTTTGAGAATTTGAAAGCTTTGTTTGTCAATTTGCAAAGGTTTGAGAGGTCTTGATACGTAGTATAAGATTCCTGCATATTTTTATATCTCACACGCAAGCTTTCATATTTACATACACATCATTTTGGTGCTTTTGAAAGCACGAATATGCCTTATTTACTAAGAAAAAAAAAAAAGAGAAGAACTTGGAAGAACTTACATATACGCCACCTAGCTCTTATGTATTTGCATATCTAACACAAACATTTTGAAAGACGAGACATTGGTTATTCTTTTATCAATAAACAATTTATTGGGCAATAAAAAAGAGGAACCAATACACATTGCAATTGTGTTATTTCTTTGGACTATCAAAAAAATTTGGGTGGTATATATTTAAGTGCTACATCTGTAAATGCTTAAGAATTGCATGGTTTGTATGTGAATTTCTCTTTTCTCGTAGGCAAGATTTTGTCACTTGTTCTTGTGGGGGGCAACAAAAACATTCGTTCTAAACTTTTAATGTGGCTGCAGTTTCTAACCTGTTTTAGTTATATTTTGGGCTGCGGTTTTGGCCTCGTAGTGGCTTGGTTTTGGATCCTGTTTTGGGGGCTCGGTTTGCTTCATGTTGCTGCCCTCTCATGTTTGAAACTTAAGTCGAATGAAAATTTTGGTTTTAAGCCTTTTCGAGGCTTGTTTTTGGGGCTCGGTTTTGCTTCATGTTGCTGCCCTATTTTATTTGAAACATCAGTTGAATGAAAATTTTGGTTTTAAGCCTTTTTAGAGCTTATATGGTGGTTCGGTTATGCTCCTTGTCATTGATTCCCTATTTGAGATACATGTTGAGCATGGAGTTTAATCTCTCGAAGGCTTTTGGAGCCTATTTTTGGGGGGGTTTGATGATATCCCTCCTATTGCCCCTCTATTTGAAGCTTATTGATGAAGTTTCATTTAATTTTGGGGTTTTGGAGGTATAATTTTGAGGCTCTGTTTTGCTTCCCCTACCCAAAACATGTGGTTTGGACACTTTTTATGTTGGTTTTGT